AATGAGGAAAAGAAACAAAAAAGACTGACCATCTTAACCATGTGGCGCAAACAGGAGCCAAGAATCTGAAACGCCACACCAATACCAGACTCGGACAAAACCTCCCCATCTGGAAACCCAAGCACCAGCAGCAGCATGATCCCGCCGGGCACGAGCTCCTCCGCCCTTGAATTCAAAAACGCCCGCATATCCACCTCATATTGCTCCCGATAAGCCCTTTTCACCTCGTTGCCGGCCCCCGAATAATGGACCGACCCCTTCTCCCCCACTCCGTCCGGAACCCTCGACAGCCAATGGAGCGCCGTCGAGCAGTGCGCGAGATGCACCGTCTTTCTAGGTAAAAGGCGTCTGTGGAAAGTCCCTGGGGACCCGCACGCAAAGTAGCCCCTGTCCCGGGGCAGGTTTCGGAAGAGGGTGTTGAAGTCGTTGCTGGGGAGGTCGTTGAAGAAGACGTGGAACTCGGGGACGCGTTTTTTGGTGGACTCGCACTTGGCTTTTATTGCGGAGATTATGTTTTGGGCCGCGAGGAAGGCGTTGGGGCCCACGGAGGAGCCCAAGTCCGCTATTCGGATGGTGTGAAAAGAGGAGGTGTCCATGTGTTCGGTTATGACCTCGCGAATTAGCCCCTCTGACGTCATCACAAGCTGTCTCTGAAAATATAATTGATTGATTTAGGTAGTTTGAATCGAGAATTTCCAATAATCTTTCTTTATATTCAAAGTCAATTCAATTTCGGTTCGGTCATTCTTTTACATATATAATACGTTAGGGTTGCAATTTTGGAGAATACTTATTTATTTATTTATTTTATTTTTGGGAAAGTGTTCATTGCAGCTTGCACATAATTACTAACTGGGTGATAATATTGACTTATATATTAAGCATCTTGATTGGATATGTAATTAAGGTGGGTTAGTGAGAGATTACCTGGTAATCAGAATTTTGAGCATAACTGTGAGGGCCATCACCACCCATCATATGGTACTCTGAAGGAACTTCTTTGAGCTTCTTATGATCCATGGTGTTATGTTATGCATGTGAATAGTTTATCTGCTTTAGTTAGTGCTTTATAGGACCAAGTGCCTTTATGTATGATTAATTGGCGAAATTGCCACTGTGGATGTTTACAGAAAGTAGTCTAATTTGAAAATAAATAATCAATAGTTATTTAAAGGAATGCATACGCAAGAGCCAAAATTTAAAATTCAACAATCATATATAGGATAGTTGTTTCACCGAAGATTTGAATTTTGACTGCATTCTTTACGAGATATGTGCACATGAAGTGTCGATACCAATTGAAATTTAAAATTTAACAATTTAAGGATATTTTTTTTTTTTTTTGTGTGCAAAGTTTTTCTGAAAATATGGAACTTTGTCGGCAAGTTCCAGCAAAAAAGTTAATTTTTTAGACGAAAACTCAAATCGATCAATTTAGAAATTGGATCATTGGGATCTAAGGAGAATGGCTGAAAGTAGGAGAAAGTCATCAAAATTTCTCATTCCACCAAGTCAGTCAAACTGGATCATTGGGATCTAAGGATTCAGAACCACATTTGAAAGCAAATTCCTCAACTTCTAAATCAGCTCATGGGAAAACCTTTGCTAACCAAACACAGGAAGACAACATTTTAATCCCTTGCAGTCTAGTAGAAGTGGCTATTCAAACTCAAGCAGACTACTATCAGACCACAACAGAGAAAGAAGTCCCTGCAGACGTTGGATCAAACCCAATACTGAGTTTACTACCATCAGCAGATCCTAAGGGGCAAAACAGTGGCTCTACACCAATGATGACCATGAAGACTATTGAGCAGGCTCCTGAAACCACAATCCCAGATCAGGTTACTATCATGGATATTGAAGAAAATACTCCAAGCAAAAAGCTCTCCAATGCCAGGAGGTGGAAAAGAGCAACTCCTCAAAAAGGCAAACTTAAAAACTCCCTGACAATCTCAGATGTTTCCCCTATCAAGTCCTCTCATAAAAGAAGTGAACCTGATATTAATGAAAGCTCTCCGGACACTATGACCTCTGCTCAAGGAGGTAAGAAACTGAAATCCATCTCTGATAAGGGTTTGTTGGCCACCCATAATGGGCCAACAAGTGACCAATGAGAGTGCAGGTGTGAAATTGTAGAGGTTTGGGCAGCCCCTCTACAATTCCCCAACTCAAGGAGTCTATGAGGACCCACTGCCCTGATTTCACTTTTCTTTCTGAAGTTAAGAAGAACTTCGAATTTGTAAATACAGTTTGCCGTAGCCTTAATATAGAAGATAGATGGAAAATGGTGAATCCAGTTGGTACAGCTGGTGGCCTTCTTTTGTTTTGGGGACTTAATGTAAATATTTATCAGATTATCAGCCATGATTTTTGTATGGAAATTGAATTCTCCACTCCTCAATTTCCCTCCCCTACCTGGCTTATTTTGGTTTATATAAGTACCTCTAAGCATATTAGATTGCTGCAATGGGATCAACTGAAAGCTATGCAACCGAAATGGGGCAAATATTGGCTATGTGCAGGCGATTGGAATGACTTACGCAGTCAAGAAGATAAAAAAGGAGGCAGCCCCAGATCACACCTCAGCTGTGCGGACTTTAATAACTTTATTGAAGACATGAACATGATTGAGCTGAACTGGAAAGGCCACAAATTCTCTTGGGCAAACAACAGGGAAGGTGAAGGCTTTGTGGAAGAGAAGCTAGACAGAGCTTTTAGTTCCGCAGATTGGCAGGATGAGCACCCTAATGCAATTGTTGAAAACATCCTAAGAAGCTCCTCAGACCACTGTATGCTGTTCATCAACTCAAACCCAGACAGTACAAAAAGAAAGAGAAGATTTAGCTTTGATAAGAGATGGCTAGCCAATGAAGGAGTGAATGAAGTTGTCACAACAGTGTGGACACATCACGGTTGTGAAGGGACACCTATGTTCAAAATCAAGGAGAAAATCAAGGCTACAAGAATAGCTCTTCTCAAATGGAGCAGGAAACTCTTCTCAGGGAACCAGGAAAAAATCAAAACACTCACTGCCTCTCTGGAACAACTAAGAACTGCAGACGGTGATAGAGATTGGGATGCTTGGAACATAATCAATGGGCAACTGAATGAAGTTTATCTGGCGGAAGAGATTCATTGGAAACAAAAATCCAGACTCCTATGGCTAAAGGCGGGTGACAGAAACTCCAAGTTTTTTCATGCACTCACAGCTCAGAGAAGAAAACTAAATGCAATCACTAGGCTGCAGGATGAACAGGGCCACTTCCTTGAAGATCAACAAAGCATCCAAAATTGTGTATGCAGATTCTACAATCAGCTATACTCTTCTGATGGCCCCATTGGAAATACTGTTGTCCTTAACAGAATCCCACAAACTATTTCAGAGGCACAGAACCAAAACTTAATTGCTGAAGTTGATGAAGAGGAGATCAAAGAAGCAATTTTCAGCATTCACCCAGAGAAGGCTCCAGGTGAGGATGGGATGACTGGGATTTTTTTTCAGCACTTCTGGCCACTGCTGAAAGATGACATTTGTGCAGCCATTCACAGTTATTTTCAGACTGGGAAAATGCTTAAGTATTGGAACCATACTATTGTGTCCCTTATCCCCAAATGCCTTTACCCAGACTCCCTCAGCAATTTCAAACCAATCAGTCTCTGTGGCACCTTGTACAAAGTCATCTCCAAAATTCTAACCAACCGACTCAAACCTTGCTTGCAATCTTGTATAAGTGACACTCAAGCTGCTTTCATCCCCGGCCGAGCTCTTCTGGACAATGTGATTGTGGCCCAAGAAGTTTTCCACTTCCTGAGTAGGCACAGATCAGGAAAGAATTATTTTATGGCCATAAAGTTAGACCTGCTTAAGGCTTTCGACAGGCTTGAATGGGAGAGTGTGAAGCAAGTCATGACCAGCATGGGTTTTCACTGGAGATTTATTAACTGGGTCATGGGCTGTATAACTTCCCCAACCTTCTCTTTCAAGATTAATGGCAATGTCTGTGGCCTTGTTCACCCCACTAGAGGGATAAGGCAGGGAGATCCAATATCTCCCTACCTCTTCATTATAGTGGCTGAAATCTTTTCCTCTCTTATACAATCTGAGAATGGTTTAGGAGGTATCCAGGGCTTGAGAATCTCCAGAAATGGCCCCACACTGTCCCACTTACTATTTGCGGATGACACACTGGTGTTTTGCAAGGCTGACTCCAACCAAGCTTTCCAGCTTATGCACATCTTAGCCATCTACCAGTCCTTCTTAGGCCAACAAGTAAACTGGAGCAAATCTACCATTTTCTTCAGCAAGAACACCCCCATCCACATCAAGAGAAGCATTTGTTGCATTCTTAACAACATCTCTGAGCACTCATCTACCAAATATCTTGGGCTCCCACTTGGAATTGGGAAATCAAAATCACAAGCCTTTTCTTTTGTTGTTGAAGCTGTTAAAGGAAAAATAAGCAGCTGGGAAAGCAAACTTCTTTCACCTGCGGGAAAAGAAGTGCTCATCAAAGCAATCCTCAATGCTTTGCCTGTCTTTGTTATGAGTTGTTTCAAACTCCCTGTAACTGTTTGTAAGGAAATGGCACAACTCTGTGCTCACTTTTGGTGGTCTAGGGGCAGGGAGCAAGCAAGAGGAATACATTGGGTAAATTGGAACAAAATCACAATGCCTAAAGAGTTAGGAGGTTTGGGGTTCAAGGATCTCAGACTTTTCAATGAAGCAATGATCATGAAGCAAATGTGGAGGATTGTTACTATGCCTAATCTACTTATTAGCAAAATGTTGAAATCCAGGTATTTTCCCATCTCTGATTTCTGTGATGCAAAGAGGACAGTAGGTGGTTCATGGCTGTGGAACTCTTGGATGGATGTCAAGTGCAAATTTGATAAACTAATCCAAGTAGACCTTCACAATGGGGCAAACACTCAGATTAAAGGCTATCCATGGATTAAATCTCTTGGTAACAAGAGAATATCTTTTAAAAATGGTATCCATTCTCCTTATACCCTGGTGAAGGAGTTGAGTATGGATGATGACAAAACTTGGAATGTTGAGCTCATACACCACCTCTTTGAGAGGGACGTAGCTGAATCCATTTTGACCACTACTAACCTGCTGCCCCATGAAGAAGACAGATGGAATTGGACAGGCTCAAAGAAGGGTATATTTTCTGTGGCTTCAGCCTACTCCAATCTCATCCACAATAAAGCTGCACAGTTGGACACACCAGAAAGTAGCAACTCCAACAAGATTGCCATGAAGACCAGAAACAGAACCTGGAAACTCAAGGTCAAAGGGAAAATCAAGCACTTCCTATGGAAATGCATAAATGACACCCTACCAGTCAATTCTAATCTGATCAAAAGAGGTGTTAACATTGATCCCATCTGTCATGTATGTGGAGAATCTGTTGAAACCATCACCCACCTCTTCTGGCAATGCAGCAAAGCTCAGAAAGTTTGGAGCATCTCTCCGGTCAATTGGGACTGCTTTTCACAACCAGGCACTTCATTTCCTGATTGGTGGTGGACAATTTGCTCACTTGGTCACAAGCAGATCGATGAGAGTAGAATCCAGCTGTCAACTTACTTACTATGGTGGTTGTGGAAATCCCGC